CTCCATCCCCGCTCCCCATGAAAGGGCCACTCCGTCACCGGGAGCGGAGCGAATCCCACCCGAAATGGGGGGAGAGCATCTCTCGGGGATGTCGACGCCACCGTCGCGGCCGTTGGAGGAGCCGGCGGCATTCGCGCGCAGAAAACACAGGGCCGGAGCCGGCGACAGCCTTCTTCAACCAGAAATATTTAAAATATATCTGAATTCCTCCTCCCGAGCATGTGGGAGTTTTATCGCTCCTTAAAATTTGAATGCCTCGGTGGCAGGCAAGAGGGAGTCTCGTCTCCCCGTCTTTTGCAGCTGACTTTAAGAATGGTTAATTATAAATAAGACCGTGCGACTATTTATACGCCCAAAGCACGCGGAGAAGGACAGGTTTAGGACACGCTTCCCACACGGCAGGAACCAGCCCGGAGAGGGGCTGGGGATGCTCCTGCTCCATCCGGCCACGGGGACGGGCGGTTCCCGGGCGAGAGCATCGCTCCGGGGAGGTTCGGTGACTCCGGGGTGATGGTGGGGGTCAGCGGTGGGACTGGGGGTCTCTGGAAGGTGGCCGTGTTCTACAGACCATGAGGAGCACCTTTGGGTGTGATGGGAAAGGGGTCTGGGGGGCGAGGGGACGGGGTTTGCTCGCCAGGGTGAGCGGGTGAAGCGGGGGGGACAACCGCGGCATCGTTTCCGGTCACCCCGGTTTGTGCCGCGCCGCTGGAGCATCACCGGGACCAGTCATGGTCCACCTGGACTTCTCCAAGGCTTCCAACTCGGTTCCCCACAGCTTCCCCCGAGAGAAACCAAAATGTTGTGGGACAGAGAAGGGTCCGCGCGGTGGCGGGGGATCGGCTTGGCCACCCACACCCCGAGGGTGGTGGTCACCAGCTCCTTCTCAAGCTGCCAACCAGTCCCAAGTTGGTTGGTTGATACCAAGCGCCGCTTGGTATCTTCATAGGTGATCCAGGCGATGGGATCAAGGGTGTCCCGACGGCGTTTGCCGATGACACCAAACCGGGTGGAGACGTGGACACTTGGGAAGGCAGAGCCACCCTGCGGGAAGACCGGAGGAATGCGCCGCCGAGAGCCTTACGCGGTTCAACAAGGATGAGCGTGAGGTCTCGCGCCTGGGAAAACCCATAATACCGGTGTGTGGCACCGGTTGGGATCTACCCGGCTGGGGAGCAGCTCGGTGGGAAGGACCCCGGGGGTCCCGGTGACAACACGCTCCATAGGAGCGAGCGGGGTGCTGCTGCGGCGGAGAAAGCCACCGGGGCCGCCGGGCTGCATCACCGAGGGCATCACCAGCAGAGAGGAAGAACCGTTATCCCACTCTGCTCGGCACTGGTCTGGCCACGCCTGGAATACGGTGCTCAGTTTTGGTCCCAACTACCCAAAAAAGCTGTGGGCAGGCTGGAGAGGGTCCAGAGAAGGGCCACCAAGATGCCCCAAGGCCGGGGAAGCCTGCCATGAGAAGAGGCTGAGAGAACGGCGTTTGTTCAGCCTCGGGAAAAGAAGGTTTGGGGAGATGTTATCACCACGTTCCAGAATTTAAAGGCTACAAAGGAGACGGAGACTCCCTTTTCACAAGGGAGTCGCGTGGAAAAGACGCGGGGTGATGGGTACCGGTTACTCCTGGGGAGATTCCGATGGGACACAAGAGGAAAATGTTTCACGCTGAGAACAACCAACTGTTGGAATAATGTCCCCGGGGAAGTGGTGGATTCCCCATCGTTGGACCCTGAAGATCCAGCTGGGCAGGGGGCTGCGCTGTCTTGTCCACAACATGCCTTTGCCAGCAAACGTTGGACTGGATGATGCCTGAGGTCCCTTCCAACCTGGGATTCTGGGATTCTATGACACTGAACTAACTCAAGGACCTTCTTATGCTAAGCTCATGGTGAGATAACTTAGTGGAGTCAGCTTATGGCTAGGCCTGAGCCGAAGAGCTAACTGACAGATAGCTGTATCTAGGTAAGCAAGTTCCTTTGACTTCCATTGCATCTAAAAAGCAGATACGATATATGAAATAAAAATGAAGAAAATCAGAAGTTCTCCCAACACTAAAACAATTTGTTCCATTGGCTTTTTCAACCTCAGAACAAAGATGTACAGTTTTTCTGTATTAAAGGGGGATGCCACTACAGAGAACTGCGTCGCACATCGAGTCGGAGAAGATGACAACACCAACGTGTCTGTTAGTTGAGATATGAAGAATAACATATGCAATGTTCACATGGCTGCAAAGCCGGCAAAATCCCGCTCGTGGAAAGGTAAATAAAATTAAATGATGCCTGACAAAGGGACTTACCTGGTTTTGTGTCTAGAGTTTTTAGTTTAGCTAGCTTCTTCACCTTAACTTGCTTGGGCAGGTCTCCTGTGGAAAGACATCAAATGACTCGTTCAGGCTCCGAATCTACCCTCACAGCCCCAGCACGCACGTGAGAGACTGCACCCCAGAACATCCAGTTCTACACTTGTACATCTTAAATCATGTCCTCCCTTAACTCCACCTTCACATAAGCCTTCTCGTCCGCTAACTTTCCTGCTAAAATTTTGGAACAGGAACATGTTAAGAAGCCATTGCAAAAACCCCCACTCCTGAACCTAAGGGTTTTCTTGGCTTCAAGGATAATAACCAGAGTCTCTCTCTCCACCTCTCTGTTCTCTCTCTCTCTCCACCTCTTTTCTCTGTGCAATTTTCTCTTTCCTGCTCAGGAAGGACTTCTCCTTTTCCTAATGCTTCAGAAAAAACCCACAGCAAGTTATCCTCTCAGCAATTCATCTTCACCATTGTTTGCGCTCATCCTGCACACGGACTCAGGCAGAGCCTAGATTTCCCTTCGGTTTCTCAGGAATTCTCACGGGAATGAAGATGCGTAAGGCGATGGCCAGCACTGCAACTGTCAGCTCACCACTAGCCTCTAACAAGGTCCACCAGCACGACGACTCCTTGGTTCCACCCTTACCTGACATCCTGAGCTCCCCAACCCGAAGAATGTGTGGCCAGTGCTGGAGAGTTTTGATAAAGAAAGGGTTTGTGACTCCCACAACAATGTTTGGCCTAGAAAGAGGGGGAAAAACACAGGACAATGCCAAGCTCAGGGCTTCCTTCACAGAGACAGCGGCAAGTGGGTAGCGAGGATCTGCTGGCTACTTACGGAGCTTGTGTCCTGGTGGTGTACTCTTTGAATTCACTGTCGTGGATAGTAAAATAGGGGCGATAGTCACAACAGTACCTCAGAGGAGCAAGGCAGCTGCAGCAATAGACAGAATAGTTGCCGTATAAACTTCACAGAGGGGGAACGCGCGTTTACGTCAGGTTTATGTCCCAGAGCAGTGTTTTGTCCTGCCAGAGGTAACACTTTGGAGGAGTTCCAGGCTTTTTTTTTTTTTTTTTTTTGCTAAAGCAAGTTCAAAGCTGGGGAGACAAATTTCCTCAAGGCTATGAACCATCAGGTCTCCCAACACAGGAGAGTCACTTTTACTCTTCTCTACCATTGGTGGAACGTGAGCAAGACCCTCTTGCTATGCTATTTGTCTCACGTGCTCTCATAGGCAAACTAAATCTAAAACAACTGAATCAGCAGAAGAGTGGATCTGAAAGAGAAAGACTGCCAGAATTTATTATTATATTTACCGGTATCTCAGGATTTGAAAGCATTACCTGGTAAGTGCCAGAACCATTTCTGAAGAAACCGTAGGGGATGGTGCCATTACCACAATTGGCTCTCCTAGTAACATCAGCTCCCATAGCATCTGGACGTGGATTAGCACGGGCTGGAAACACCTGTCGGTGAGAGGAAGAAGGAGGTTAGAAACACAGTTCAGAAAAGACCAGACACAATTATTGCATGGAAGTCCACCCAGATGTGCGTCTATCTGGGAATTTGAAATCTAGGATTGATTTTTGGCATCCCGTAACAGAACGCCACGTGTCTTTACACATGCTGCTCCTCAACCATTTCGTACATGTTTAAAGGAAATGCTTTAAGCAATGTAAAGCAACCCGCTGGTCATATTGCTCTCAGGATGTGCTTTCAGCGACGCAAAGCTTTCTTTTGCCAAGAAGGGTTGGACCAGATGATCCTTGAGGTCCCTTCCAAGCCGGGATTCTGTGACTCTATGATTCAAAGTAAAACGCACGTGGATTACAGCAGATGAGTGTCTATTAGAACAGCACCTGTAATGCTGAAAAGCTTGGTGCAGACACACATCGTGTACGCTTCAGAGCTGAGGCTGATCAGCAGCTGAGGTCAAGAAAAGAACCCCCCCTCTAACCGGGATACAGGGGGTTGTGGTAAGGGCAACGCACAGGGTTAAACGCTGCACGAGCTCTGCAAACCACATATGCTAAACGACACTCTGCAAAGCAACAGCTTTTGATTCCTCATTTCACATCTTCATTATCCCTATGATTTATAGGATAGTCTGAGCAGGGAGAGGGGAAAGCAGGTGGAGAGGAGAGGGTTGCAAGGATGGTGGCTCTCACCTGAAAAGATCCAGTTCGTGAATACTGGGGAGAACCAGTGGGGCTGGTAACAGATTCTAAATGAGGAAGGAAAAACAAACAAACAAACCAACCCCAAACTGTTAGTAACTGGAAGCATCCTGACCGAAATGCCATCTAAACTGACCACATCAATCACAAAGTAGCTCCCTCTACAGTAAGCACAAAAAGAAGAGAACAAGGTTAACACTTAGAGGTATGAGTCAGGAATAGATCTGGATTGAGCATTCAAGATCAAAATTAATTTCCTTTCCTATAAGATAACCAAGAATCCATTAATTTCAAAACCTGAAACACTTCCCATGTCTGTCCTCTATTCTCTACAGTTTCCTCTGGCGGAAGACAGAGCTTAAGATACAGATAGAGACAATAAGGGTCAGTAATGTGGGTACCAAAAGTTGTGAGGGATGACAACGTTACTCGAAGGAGAGAAAAAGGGGACCGATTAAATAACCAAGAATCAAAATCAACGCTGAATCAAAGCAGTAAAGATGCTCAGACAGCAAATGCTGCAAAACACCACAGAAGACTAAGGCATGAATTCCCAGGAAAGGCAAGGCGAACAAAAACTGTGAGAACAATGCACATTCATAACTTGAAGCACACAAATTCTGTGCAGAAACCTGTGCAGAAACCACATGGGTCACTTAAACCACATTAATCCCAGGACAAAGTGGTTTCAAATGGGATAAGGCTGAAAGAGTTCCAGTCCTCCTCCACCCTCCTCCCTTAGCAGTCCAGACTCTGCTCATCGCTGGCTTGTGCCATGCCATGCTTCATCTCACCTCTTGGTTGAACTGCTTCACTGGACTTGATCCTGGTTTATCCACCCTTGATGGGATTCTCACCTAGATTACAAATAAGAACAGACGGATTATCCAGGGAGATGGAACCAGTTAGCATGCACGCACACTTTGCTTTCTTTCCTAACAACCACTCACGTGAGAAAGCTTCCTCAATTATCAATTCTAATTGATGTTAGGAATAAAGGGAAAGAATCTAGAGTAAAGAGTAATTTTAACATCCTGAAGCAAAGGGAGTACACGTTCCACTTTCCCAGTTTGCCTCAGCCTGCTGCGGAGCACAGGTCATCAGCAACAAGTACCTGGATGACAACTCCCATCACCGGAAGGTTCAGAGTCTGTCCTGGCACGGGAGGCGGCCACTGATCAATCTCATTGCACACTGCAGGGACACAGGTTAAGAAAAAAGTTTAATATGAAGGACACCACAGCTAATTCGGCTGGTCCTGTGAGTTCTGCCAGCTTAAGTACCGCTCCTTCCTAGTTCACATGTCCCCCCGGCTAGTCGCAAACAAACACTATGTCAAATAATTGTGCAAGTTTAGGTCAGACCCCAGACCGACTTCTGTCTGCATCACCATTTCCAGCGCCGGACCTGCAGCACGATGCTGCTGATAAATCATGATTAAGCCAAACAGTGCAATGAAGACCTAGACAGAGATGTAGCATTAGCAGTTTTTTCCTCTCTCTGGGAATACATTGTATGCAAAACTGACAGCATCATCTATTAAGGTTGTCAGACATTTCCCATTAACACATCCTTTACAGCTGTTTATAATTTTGACAAGCCAACCACTTGGATGGAAGTTTTTCCCTGTTGGAATTTGTTCCAGAATGAACTAATTTGGAACGTTTCAACTGTCTTTCAGGAATCTCCTGACAAAACCTCTGAAGGATTTCAATATGCAAACCCCCCCTCCTAGATCTGACTGCTCACCTGCCTCCAGGCACGGCTCCAGCTTGTCAAAGTACTCCGGAGCAATCAGCTGCAGCAATGACTGGAACAAGTTCACATATGGAAGGCGTGACACCAGCACCAGAGACTGAAAAAAGGAACGTTCAGGAGTCAGAGACCTGCTGACACGATCATTTCTAGCACTGCGAACACTTACACTGCTTACTAGAGGGCTACACTTAGAAAACAACATCAAGAACATGAAAGAGCTCAAAAGCAGCACTTTTACTGATGGAATTCTCGCTAGCTACCTAGCTGTTGAACCCTCAGGCTTTGGGAGACCCTGGGTATCCACACGGGCACGGAGTGTTTTGTTTAATGAGCGAGCGCAGCTGGCAGCTTCTACCAGGGAGCCACCGCAACTAAGAGGGATGAGATCGTGACCCAGCAAAAGATCAACTGGAGAAAAAATAAAAATAAACCTTATCAGATGGAGAAGTGCAAAGGAGCAGACGATTGAAACTGAAATGAGGTAGATAAACAAAATAAAGGAATTCTGGGGAAGAAGAAACACAGTAACGTGAAATAATGCTAATTTGTTTCCAGCGACACCTTTTGTTATCCTTCCAGCTTCTTTCTAATGTTTCTTTGTGAAATATATCACCATCTTTTACAACTTTTCCAACTCAGCCCCACTGGGGGTTTTCACTACTATGGTGATTGTTACAGAATCACAGAATCCCAGACTGGCAGGGGCTGGCAGGGACCTCTGGAGACCACCTAGTCCAACCCCCTGCCAGAGCAGGGGCACCCACAGCAGGTTGCACAGGATCGCGTCCAGGCATGTTTTGAGTATCTCCAGAGAAGAAGACATTCTTGTCCTCTAATCATTAATGAACACATTCATTAGGATCCAGTGAAAATTCCTGCAATAGTCATTTAAGCACCTCCTTTCCAACCCAAAACTTCGCCATTTGAAATAAAAAAACCCATCCAAGCGTGACAATATACTTCACCGAGCAATTCAATGCGCCCAGTACTTTTGTAAGTCTACCAAAGAGCCAGCATGTTAGCCTGGTCCAAACATCTGTCCGGCAGGTCCCCACGTTGTCCAGTTTCTCTAATCCTCCAGGTTTTTTGGGTAATCAACCCATTGCTTTAGTGGAGATGAAGAAACTCATTTTCCCTGGAGGTATTTAAGAGACGGGTAGACGCGGTGCTGAGGGACATGGTTTAGTGGTGGGTTTGGTGGTGCTAGGTTGATGTTTGGACTTGATGATCTTAAAGGTCCCTTCCAACCTAGGCAATTCTATGATTCTATGATTTCTGTATTAACACGTCTCTTTGGCAGAAACTCCACGTCACTGCCTGGAAGCGGAGGAGAGAAAGCAGAGCAAGTCAAGTAGCTGCTGGGACAGAATGGAGTCCCCGTCTTCCAGCAAGTTACCAGACTGATCTACTACGAAGTGTTGCTTTTGAAAAGCAGATGTTGAAAGTTCATTTGTTTGAGAGGATGACATTTTATCTTTTGACGTGAAAAAACACTACTGAAAGCGTAATTCCATGGACCCATCGAGAAAAATGGATCCTAGGATCAACGTAAAACATTTTGCTTCTCTAGAAGTCTGAAATTCCACCCTCTTTCAGGCAGTGACCACAACTATCTGTCTGAATAATACAAAGCACTTTGCATATTTATGCTGAAATAAACATGCAGTTTATGTTATTTTTCCCAGTGTCTGGGTCAAAGGAATTTATGATAAGAGACAAGGTTGGTGAGGTACCAGCAGTGTCACTGCCACTAGTTAGAAGCAATCAGCCCAGCAGGAAATCCATTCCCAGAGGGCTACTAGGAAGAAGAAAGATTAAAGCAATAATAAGAGTAGAGTTAAGGTATAACTAGCACAGACTGCAATAACGAAGTATATCCTCTCGCTATCTGTGACGCTAGAGTACATGCTGAAGCAAATGTTCGAGTACTTCAGGATCTCATGATTCAGACAGCAGGTCACTGCTCATGTGATTAACACACCATGGCAACCGCATCCAGGTTTGTTTGGAATTACACTTTCCACATATTCCTGTTCTCCGTGACCTTTGCCGTTTCCTGCAGAAACACTGTGGGTGTCACGTAGGAAGCGGTGCTGTTTTACAGCTATGGATAGGTGCCTTTTTACAGCTACGTACCAGCGGAGAGTAGCGAGCTATCTGGTTTCAGCACTCACCTTCTGAAAATAACCTCTCTTCATGGAGCTGTCCTTGACTTGCCTGAAGTATACATAACCAAAGTAATGGGCTGACTCCCGCTGCAAGAGAGACCAACAATGCTGTCACTGAGAAACCCATCATTGCCATCACCAAACTCCCCCCAGGCACTGCCAAAACAACCTCCCTCCCTCCTGCTATGATACAATCACAGCACTCCCTCCTATTTACCAAAGTTATCCGCGCTCAGCCGGCGGGGAGAGTTCACCAAACGGGAAGACAGAGAAGAGATACAAACAACTAAACTCACAAAAAACGACGGCCTCCCGGTAGTACCTTTCACTCCTCCCTTCCTGCAGCACCTTCAGGGCCACCACCTAAAGGGTTAATCGAGGTTTCCACTAACACAACCCGCTGAGCCAACCCCTGAGCTCTCCCTGGCACCCCGTGCTGCCACTGCTGCGCTCTGACTGTCAGTTTTCTTTGCCAGCCAGAGGATAATGTATTGTTGAGGAACGAATACATCATCTGAGAGGAGGAAATGCCCTCTGCCATACCTACTGCATTCCTCTTCAGCCGGGCATTGAAGGCAGTACCCGTCAAACTTTGCTCAGGGCGAAGCACAAAGCTGAACGATGCTTCACAGCGTCCGTGACAACTACCAGATTTAACACAAATGCCCAGCGACCGTTTCAAACGGCTATGGCTTCTACGTTCCCACAGACACCAAGGCGGAAGGACAGTTATCAGTGCCAAACACAAAGACCATCCTTAATACCATTTTTTGAAGCCCCACCGCTCCAATGGTTTAAGGCACCTTTCTCTTCCCAAATAGTATTTTCCACAACTGAATGCAGTACTTTGGCAGTTTTACTTCCCTTGCTTCTTTAAAGCTAGGTGAATGTGTGAGGCAGCATCCTTCTACCGATTGCTGCGAAGCAGTGAAAATGTATGCAAGCTGAAATATCTCTAGACCAGAATTTAGGAAAAGAAATCCTCCTACTCCCCCTCCGACCAGGAATCCATTTCTGGATTGCTTATCACAAAAGCGTATCACAAAACGACGGCAGAAGTGTTAAAAAGGCACATGCAGAGGAAGTGTCATCTCAGCGAAGAAAGCAGAAGAGGACAAGCTGATCTGTGGCCATCTGCTCAATTCGAAGAAGCAACAGTGCTCAGCACATCCCTTCTCTGCGTGAAATGGACAGTTCACTGATGGAAAAACCACAGCGAACAGACACTCCCGATACTGGTGTTTGGGGCTGGTTAAACCAGCGCCCATATAGCAAGCCAAAGCGTGGATTTGCGGCATGCCAATTATTCCGGCTGGTTTTATACACACAGATCCTGCAACGAATGAAAAGCACTGTCATCCCTCAACAAGAGAGGTAAACACCTAATTTACCACAGACAAGGCTATTCTTGTCTCGCCCCACGGAAATGCGCACAGGTAGCCGTGCGCTCTGTTGGATGTCACCTGTGTGCCACCGTTTATCTTTTCACTGCAGCTAGACACGACCCCTGCTCTAACCTGGGGTCCATCCGATTCAGTTCCATCTCTCAGAGTTGCCGGGATTCTCACCACAGCCCTCCATGAGTATTAACGTGGAAGTCCCTGTGCTGAAAGTCTCCTTCTCTGACTATTCCCGCGGCCAGAGAAAACGAGTATTTTACGCATAGAGAACAAATCAAAAGTTTATTTGGCTTTTATCCCAATAACACTACTGACCGCTTAGCAGGCGTAAGGAGCGCACTGAAATGCAACTGACCTGCAGCGTTAGAGGTGCTTCTCTATTGTACTCGCCGTCATCCTCGTAATGAGTGGTCCTCTGTCCCCCAGACTGACGAAGGCGGAAGCTAAATTGAGTATCCCCCAGGCCACCTGAGACAGAGAAGATCACAAACGCTCAGGAAGAAGTTTCAGTAAAGAGAAAGCTGGAAATTGGTTAAATCTGAAATGCTGACATAAACAGGAACGCTGATTTGCAGGGAACTCCACAACTGAAAATGAAATGGAGAGTAACAGCAGAAAGTAAGCCCAAAACCCCAGTGCAAGACAGGAAGAACACAGAGCTGAACACAAGAACTGGTACCATTAAGTAAACCTTGCCAGGCCATTGCTGGGAAACTGCCAGACGTTGGCCAGTATCGTCAATCCTGAGCAGCTGCAGCCACCGCTTCTTATCCACCCTACTGAAAAACCTACAAACAGCCCTAATCCGAGACCCCACAAACACTGGTTTGAAGGACAATCCCCTGCACAACAGCTCTAGCGAATGACCTACACACGCCCCACAGCCGAGCACCCCCCAGGTCACTCTGTACTGCTCACCCCCCCCAAAAACACTTTGCACAGCCGAAAAAAAAAGAAGCACGAAGCCCCCAGGAGTTTTCATCAGTTGGACGGGCAGAAGGAGCAGGGCTGAGCACGCACGTTTGAGGGAAGAGCTAAAGACACTAAGCTCACTGAACAAAACCCGAGGCTAAACAGACCAAGGCGCTGCCATGGGGGGAGAGGACGTACTCTCTCCCCGCTGCTTGCAGGCGCTACGCTCTGAAGAGGAGTAAAGGCTGTTGTGTCCGTTACGAAGATATTACTATTAGTAAATAATATACTTTAATAAAAGGGACATTTAGTCTGCGTGTTCGCTCAGCTCTGAGAAACCAGTGAAAGTACATCCTGAAAAACATCTAAAATTGAACTGGGCAAAGCTGTAGAAAACCAACAGTCAGGAACCAGCGTTACAGAAACAGGTCCTGGGATGAATTCCCATGCTTATTTCTTACTGCCACCTTTCCGGTTTCTAAATACGAGCTTTGGGAATACTTCTGCTGCGAAAGCAGCCTCTCCCCATCTATTTCTCTTCACTAAGCACCTCACTCAAGAACACAGAAATGCTGAAGTCGACAGCGGCACACCTCGGGGAACCTCTCCTTCCCGACTATTCCTTGTATCTCACTGGTGAAGCATGAGTGTGCAAGCTCACGAAGAAATTGTCCTGTCACCCACCAGATCACAGATTCTATACACAGAGAGCAATCAAAATGACAAGAAGCCTCTTTGTTCAGACCTAAGGGCTGGGCACTCCTTGATGTCACAGTTCTGGAAGATACAGCCCATCAGTCTCTGCAGCATCAGAGGCGATGACTCACTCTTTCCATCATGAACCCATTTCTTTCATAACGGCAACGAACCATCCCGCAGGCTGCCGGCAAGGCCGACAGATGCCACCTACCTGAGTAGGAGTCTGGGAAGGACAAGTAGCAGATACTAGTCTTCTGCAACAAACAGAAACACACAGTAAGAAAACCTCCATCACCGCCACTCAGTATCTTTAAAACCAGGGGAAAAAGGGGAAAAATAATAGTTATTACCTCTTTCTCTGTTAGTCTAAAGTCATAAGGATACACCAACTGCAAAAGAGACAAGAGCCGATAAGTCAGTCCCTCTGTTCCCCCACGACTTGTACGTAGATCTATAAACATCGCTTCATACAATAAGAGTCTTATTTTTCCCAGAGGAACGCATCCTACAAGAAGGTACCTTTACCCATTCAAAAAGCGACTGTCGATAGCCCACTGCACCGAACCTGTCGCAGACTCTGTATTCGCTCCAGCAGATTTGGAGACAGACCAAACAGCTTATATTTCACTTAGATTTTCACTTGGGTAGATGGCTCAGTGAACAAACAGCCCCACCACACCACCCCATCGCCAACTTCTCTGTACGGGTTCCTGATGTGCCAACATCTGTTTTCTCTAAAGCAGGTGGGAGAAGACTATTCCAATGCTGCTTGAAATGATGTTAACAGACTTACTCTGCAAGCTCCAAGCCTGGAAAGCATCAATACTCAATTTTGCCCCTAAATACAAGTTTACAAATTGCCCAGAATAATGTCCTATATAGAAAAGTTTTGGAGTTGGTGCATCTCTAATTGTTGTTTGGAGGATGGCCACTTTTTATTTTTTTCTTGCTCAAAATTCACTAAACCCACCGAGTATTCGGAAGGAGTGAGGACGGCTGGCACCGGGAGCTGCTGAGAGGTACAAACGGGTTTCACAGCAACGAAACGAGAAGACAGACGGTACGGACAGACTAAGAACGGCTTTGAGAATGACGCCATGTGCACAAGCGATGAGGCACGGACAGAGTTGTCACGGGCGGACGGTAGAGAGAGCGTTAACAGCCGTGGTTGGGGAAACCCCCTTTGCAGCAGCACCCTGCAAAGACACGGGCAGGGCACCATCGCTGTTCTCAAGGGACGTCATCAGGAGCGAGACAATGACGGTCTGGACAAAGGTTCTAGCTGTATGAAGAGATCAGAGAACAACATTGTCCTGGTTCCGACACCCACGTACGTTAAGCAACACGAAGTCTGGTGTTATACACAGACCTGAGTATATATCCTACCCTCCGGCGTAAAAACATTTATTTGACAGTCCTGAGCGACTGGTCTGCTAGAGAGGCTGTTCGCAGTGACCAATAAGCAGAAAATGGGCCGCAGGAGAAGTCTGAGAGGATTTGGAGCTCTGGCTCAGCCTCCCTGATTTGATCTGTTGTGAGAAAGACAAGCCGAGGTTTATTTTGTACAGAAAGAGGTGGGTCTGGCTCAGGCTGGAAGACTCGTGCTTTGTCAGCATACCAGTGACAGCTGAGTTGTGTTACACCCAATTTATCGCCGAGCATTTCAGATAAGAGAGATCGTCAAGAATTTTAAAGCATCGAGTTAAAGACTCCAGCTTTGCAGCTGAACTCTGCAAACGCTGATAAGGCCATTTCTGCATGAACTGTAACCCCATAAAAGAGAACTCAACACAAGACTTCTCGGGTCAGGGCCGAGGGCAGAACCGCAAGCAAGATCCACCGGCAAGATCCACTGCAGGAACCACCACGCGGAGAAGTGAGAAATGACACAGCTACAGCAATAACGAGTTCACAAGTCACTGGGCAGAGGACAGAAACCCAAATACTTACAGATCTGTAGAATTAACTTACGCAGCCCGTACAGCACTCACTGACCGGGCAATGCAGAAATTGCAGCTGGCGTTAAATAAGCGGATGAGAAAGAAATTAGGAATGGCCGGAGAAGTGGAGATCTGCTCCTCAGGCTTCTGCAGCTCCGGGGCAGTGACTCCGCTGCAGGTCAGCTTGGGAGTCACCCGGCGCTCGAATCGGGAGCTTTCTTCAGGGCTCGACTCTTCTTGCAAGTCTATAAATAGCAAGGGTGGCAGCGCGCCAGCGCGCTGGAAGCTCACCACGCTCGCTCGCTTCGCGCTAACCATTCCCCACGGATTCCTTGGCAAGGTCATCTAATCAGCTTCGGAGAGTGAGCCAAATTAACAATTAAAAATTACACTGATTAGCCTTCGGTTAAAGCTTCTCTGAAAGATGAAAGCTACAAAAATACAGGAGGAAAATTACGGCGTGCAAGCGCCAGCGATGAGGCAGCACAGGAAGGCACCACCGGGGAGCGAAGGCTTTTCAGAGAGCGGAGACGAAGGGATGCATTACAACTGCGCCACGGGAGAAGACACACTTCTCCGCTTGCTAAATTTTTTGCATCGGGCGACTGAATAAATTCTTGTGGTTATGACTAATTTAATGATGATACAAACATTTATTTTGTTAATTCCCATGTAATAATGGACAGAGCAGGAACAGAGACCTGGGCATCTGACGCTGATTCATCCAGCAGCTCAGGAATCTCACAGCCTCGTGCTTTCCGCACTGCTCGCTGATGGTCGAAACTTAAGTTCAAGAGCCGAGACAGACTTCTCGTTCTCCTGCTGCCTTTTCTGGGGGGTCTTTCTGCAAGTAAATCAGACCAGAAGTGGACACCGACGCCTCCTGGCTGCTCTGTGGGTCAAGGATTAAGATACGCTAAGCGTGGGTTTCACTTGGAGACGTGCGCTCAGCATTTTGGAGAAAAAAGAAAAGAAAAAAAAACCCAATCAGGCCCAAATGCTCCTGCCTGAGCACGGAAACACTGATGGACCCAAAAATTCAGATCTCACGTCTTTGAAAAATAGGCCTTCCCTTCTGCATCTTTGCGTCCCCTTCAGTTTAACACTCCGACATGTACTTCTGTGTCTGGGGTGGGGAGAAAATCACTAAATATTTACAAGATTAAACCCCCAATTTGAAACAGTAAGAATCCCAGGCGCTAGAACTTTTCAACAGCAAAAAGACAGTATACAAAAAGGAACTTTTTATTTGTAAAAGTCCCTGGCTATCTCGGAAGTAGCCCAAAAGGGCTTAAATTATGTCCTAAGTTATGACGTGGCTCTCTCCCCCATCAATACTGCCTTAACAAGTGTGGAGGTGACACATGTTGTTGAAAACAGATCCTTGCACGAAAGCTTTGCTGTTGATATGGGCAAGGGTGCCAAGTACTCCGCTGCTGCCATGGCAACACGGAGAACATCCCAGAAAATGACTTCTGGTGACTCTGAAGTAAGCCAGCTTCACAAAGTGCCTGTGTTTGGAAAAGCTCGGGGAGGGAGGAGCCAGCGCCGCTGTGAAAAGGGATATTTCAGAGCCCCGGGGACGGATTTTCCGCGTTTCTATGACAGCGGCAGCAGAGCTGTCAGGGCCTTTGCGGAGCAGGACGGCAAACGGGTGGTGGGGAGGGCTGCTCCTGCAGGACACTGCTAGCCGGAGAGGATCGTCTCAGAAACCTGTCTTCTCTCTCTCTCGGGTATTTTTGCCATCTGTGGTTGGCTATTTGAAGAAATGTAAATTGGTGGATGAGTCAGAAACAGCAATTATACCCAATTTCTGCATTAACCTATGTTTTCCTTCGTAACACCTTTTCTACTGTATATTTAAATCGCAGCAGAGTTGGGACTCGCTGAATTTCAGGCTGATGGTCTCTATCTACGCTGCGAGACGACTGCGCAGAGCACAAGTCACGCAATAGTCAGAAACCTGCGCAGACCCTGAACAGGCTCCCGCCTGCGAAGTTGCATCCACAGAGCCTGTGCCGTTCCAGGGGTAACTTTGCCGTTCTACTCAGTGTCGTCGGAGGACAGACGACACGCACTAAGCAGGCTTCAACAACGTGGCTTCCGCGTAGATTTGGGCAGCAAGGGAAGAAAAGAGATGTTTTATCTGGAAAGAATCCTGTAGTCAGGAAAAAGTAATCTTCAGGAAAGGATGACAAGGTCTCAGCACCGAAACGCTGACTGAGACGGGTCTGCCCCTAAAGCAGAGCTGCAGCGGACTTCCTAAGGTTGCGCGAGGGATGGCTGCATCTTCACACGCTGATTTACAGAGGTGATGCAAAAGTATGGTGCAACCTCCAGAACGGGAGGTTTCCCCTCCTTCTGACTCACTGCGAGCACGGGAGGTAGCGCGAGTTACTCCAAGAATTTGTAGCCTGTCACTCTGTGTAATCCTTGGGTGCGGGAACAGCCTCTGTGCATAAATCACTCTTTGGAGGGATATACGTACATCCAGAAAACCACAGAGAGCTCTGTCAAGATCTAATCTCAGTCAGCTACACTGATCTGGTAATGCCTATGGCAAACTTCCCGTGCAAACTCAGCCAGGACTGAAGTCCCACGGGGCTGGGTGCCACAGACGCATTTTTTTAACCCAGAAACTTGCAGGCGAGAGCCCGAATCATAAAACTCCCTCTTCTCAGCTGGAGAAATCAGCCTGCTTGGAGACAAGCCGCAGGATCTGGACCCAATCTAAAACAACCAAGGCAACAGATGGAAATAGGGAATAAGCAGGAAGATAATGACACCATTTGCCTACTGGCAATAGTGACATTTATACTTTTTCAGAAATTTGAAATAATTCTACTTGGAATTACCCTGTAAGACAGTAACAGCTTGAGCTTTTTTATTTTCCCAACCCCATCAGGAATGGAACACGGGATCTTTATCACACAGCTTCTCTTCCGCTTGGCTCCCTTTCTGGGCATCTTACCCAGCGCAGACCCCCTGTTCCCTGCCCAAACCCTTCGCTCAGAGACAGCAATCCACAAGGGACAACCAAAAGAAAAGTGACGGTGGGGTTGTGCCACCGCTCAGTCCAGACGCTGAGATGTTCTAACACTTCTCGGTCATTTATGCCACATGAGAAACACTTTTCCCATCAACACTCATGTAGGCAAAGGAGGGCAAGGGAGGAAAGGAAGAAAAAGAAGAAAAATACCTTTCCAGAGATTAACAAACCATATTACTGCATACCCTGATCACAACGTCCCTTCCTTATAATGGTAGGCAGGTAATAAAACCGGTAAGAAAGCACCTTTGTAGCTACATATTAAAACACACCTACGAAGCATTAAATCGTAAATGCTAATTATTATCCCAGTATTCATATCCTTCCAGGGTATAGCAGGTCTGGTTTTGCCGGAAAGAGTATAGAGCATGTGAAACTCGTGTCTACAGCAGATTTTTTTTATTTATTTTCAGGCTTCACGGAAAGAAACATAGTCAAGTATTTAAGAAAACAGAGCAGCAATCAGCTAACTTGATCTCTTTCCATCCCCCTCAGAAGCTTCAGCATGACTTTAAAATTGCAAAGGCTCAATCCTCTGAAAAAGTGTTAACCTTACACAAAGGCAGAGTGAGGAGTACTTCCCACAATTACACAATATCAAGGAATTGGAGACAATGCCTTAGGTTCAGCATAATCCAGACACAGCTGGTCCCCTCACGTTGCATGTGCTTAGAACACCAACCAGCTCTGGCCTTCGGTCACATTACACGCCTCCGGTATCGAACTCCCTTCAAATCATCTTTCAGAAGCAAACAGTGCAATCTTCCAGAGAACCGAGAAAAACCGCTCCAGCCCTTCCACTCCCAGTTCATCCTCTCTGCCCCCCAACGACCCCCACAGCCACGTCAGACCTCCTGCGAAGCCTCTGACACTGCTGACAGAGCCGCCTCAGCCCCCCCCACCACTGCACCCCATCGCTCCCCCACTTCCCTCCCAGCTCCCAACTCCTTCCCTGCCCCTGTCCTGCAACACCCACCTCAGCCCCTCCTCAGTGCCTGCTGACCCCACACATCAGATCTGTGTTTCCAGGAGAGATTCACCCTGACCCCCAGCTCCCAGTGGAGCCCCTCTGCTGGGAGGACAGGCTGGGAGAGGTGGGGGGGTCAGCCTGGAGAAGAGAAGGCGCAAAAGGGGAGAGCTCAGAGCCCCTTCCAGTGCCTAAAGGGGCTCCAGGAGAGCTGGGG